ATACACACACTCATACACACACGTGTATGTCCATAAATGAGCACACACATTGAGCATTTAAGAAGGATAATCCTCGACTAACAAGGTCATTATAAAGTAATTATCATGCTCGTAAATACATTCATTCTAGGAATATTTTCAGTCATGTTCTTGAATCTCAACAAAAAGGAAAAGAGAACAAAAGAAGAAGAAGAAAAAGAAGAAAAACAAGCAGCTTAAAGTCTATTTTTTAAGTCTTATCCTTTCACAAAGTCCCGGAAAATTTTAAAGCCAAGTCAAGGAGCCATGAGAGTGAGGAATTAATATCAGGTAATAACCAGAGGGAACAGGATGTGATGCCGAGTCGATGTCGATGGTACAAGTAAGTCTAATTTAGCGATGATTCATCTTAAACCAGGGTTGTCAAGCGCATTTACACTTGATGGCTAAGTATGACATGACTACACCGTCTACACAGAATAGTCTATCATATAGATTGCTTTAAGACATAATGTCTAATTTTCTACGTAAAATACCAGAATGCCACTTGATTCATAAAAGAAACAAAAGGTATTGGAGAATCGATATTCGTAAGGACTAAAAGACCAGTTAATTCATGTATAATGCTAACCTTATAGGCTTTATACATGAGAGTGAAATTAAGTAATCTTCACAAATACAAATGACTGATAGCTTTTGATTAGATAAGAGAGAAACGAACAGATAAAGGTAAGAGAAATAGTGACAGACGGGAAAAATGCCCGTAGAAGTTTAAACAGATTTCTCTGGGAAATTGTCAGTATTTTTCCTTTTCTTCAAGACTGCCATTTCTCGTGGGCTCCTAATACCCTTGAGCCACGAAGCTGCAGGTAGCTGACCAGGAGATAGTTTCTTTGGAATAGAAAAGTTTTTTTATTTGGGCAAAACTTCGGAGCTGATAGGAATCCTTTTGCCAGTCCCTCAGTTTCGCTGGAAGACGAAGATCCAACTCTCGAAGTCCAGGCTCGATATAGTATATATCATCATCATCAGCCTATATCAAATCCACTGCAGAGCGTAGACTTCACTCAATCTTTTCCAATTATTTCTGTCTTCCGTAGTTCGTTTCCAGTATTGGTCCCCAAATTTTGTTATTTCGTGACGCCATCTTGTCATTGGTCTGGTTCTTGGCCTTCTTATGTTATCTATATCCCAATTTGTTACTTTCTTTGTCCATCGATCGTCCTGTCTCCTGCATATATGACCTGCCCATTGCCGTTTCTTCTTCTTAATTCTCCTTAGTATCTCATCCACTGTATTCCTGATCCACGTCGCCCTCGTCCGATCTCTTCGGCTAATTCCAGCATCAACCTTTCCATTCCTGTCTGGTCCATTTGGCATGGCTGGGAGGACGCTCTGGTTGAAGCCTTTTCTCTTTAAACGTCATGGCAAGAAATCTCTTATTATACTGCTGCGTCTGCCAAAGGTGCCACGGAGTTGGTTTATTTTCTCTTCTTTGGATGTTTGTCTGAATGAGTTGCCATCGATATATGTACTCGTCCACTTTTAACTGAACTCTGCAGCTGAACACGACTTTAGTCTTTCTCCTGTTCATCGTGAGTCTAAATTTCAGACTTTCGCTTTTCAGATCGTTTACCAATTGCTGAAGTTCATCGGCCGACTCTCTAAAAAGAACAATATCGTCTGCAAATCTTAGATTGTTTAGGTGTTCGTCCCCTATCTGTTACTCTTACCGTTCTTCTCTAGTTTCTTGAATATCTCCACAAGGCAAACTGTGAACAGCGTTGGTGAGATGGTGTCGCCCTGCCTAACCCCCTTTTTAATTGGTGCTTTATCCGTTTCTGTTTGGAGCCTAATGGTTGCCGTCCCTTCGTATATATCTTCCAATATTTTCCAACAGACTTCCTCTACTCTTTGTCTTCGACTGGCCTCTAATGGTGGTGATATTTGTACAGAGCCAAATACCTTTTCGTAATCGAATGCCATTCACAGGGGCTTCCTCTATTAATTTATTTTCTTCTTTTATTTAGGGCAGTGTGTGTATGTTGTTTGTTGTCGAGAATCTCCTGCGGAAGCGTGCCTTTGCTTTATGTCTTGGTTCGTTTTTTGTTTTATTTGCTTTACATTTTGCTTCATTTGCTTTATGTCTTGCTTCGTTTTTTGTTTTATTTATTCAATATTTTGCTTCATTCTTTTCGTTTTATTTGCTTCATAACTTGCTTCGTTACCTTGGCTGGTTAGAATTTAGCGTGTCAGAGATGCGAGCTGTGAAGACTTTTGTGAAAAGTTTGTAAATAACTGAAAGGAGTCTTATGGGTCGGTAGTTAGATCCCTTCGGTCCCAATCTATAGTATACTTACATTTACATAAATGAATTAATAAACACCAACACGTCTTTCAAGTATTGGCGCGTGCGTTTATCTCTTTCTGTGGGAATATATTTGTGTCTGTCTGTCTTTGTTTGTGGATCGCCTATCCTTATAGAAGAGAGAGAGAGAGAGAGAGAGAGGAGAGAGAGAGAGAGAGAGAGATAGATAGATAGATAGATAGATAGATAGATAGATAGATAGATAGATAGATAGAGAGAGAGAGAGAGAGAGAGAGAGAGAGAGATCAGCCACGCGACCTAAAAATATAATATTTACTCTTTTCAGTTTTACTTCGTTGAAAACAAGGATTACACTTCATATTACAACGTCGCTCTTCGCATGGAATTGTAACTCCGAGGAATTAAAATTGGAAACAAATAAGCAATACATCCAGTGCAATATGGAGATTTCGCTTTATCCATGTATAAATAATTTCTCTTAGCAAACGTATCCGCGTATGTGCAGTTACTGGTACATAGACGAACTCACAAACAAACACACACACATACTGCACACACACACACACACACACACACACACACACACACGCACACCACACACACATACACACACACACACACACACACACACATACACACATACACACACATACACACACACACACACACACACGAACAAAAACAGACACAAACAAACTCACACACACATTCTTCTGCTACTACTACTAACTTCTACCTTTACATAATGGCATCAGCGCCAAGGCATCACGTACCATTACCACCCCATTTGCCAGAATCGCGGAGTTCCAAGGAGGAAGGACAAACACCACTAATCCAGCTTAGATACCGAGGCTCGAACCGATATATATATAATTACGACGGCGGTAAGTCCTTCTGGCTCATATAACCGGGTTACATAACACTGGCCAACGCGTCCTCCGAATCACAAATATCCCAACAATAAGGTATTAGGAAAGAGCAACTCAGTGTGTGATCATGATGTGAAATGTGGCAATAATGGAGAGTCGCTGGTGCAAGGGATGTTGATGCTTCGACCTCCGTTTGTTGCACGAACCGCTTTCATTGCGATAAGCATGGAAAAGGCATGGAGGACAAGGAATATCCTCACAATGCAAGAGGTGCAATTGACCCGTTTCAATGACGTCGCCAGCAATACATGTATTTTTAACGAAGATATAATCGAAGCCGGTTAAAAATAGCTCTTGCACTGCGAAGGTATTCATTTTCCTTCAAACCTTTTGTGCAATTGCATTATGCGATGCTGACATTTCCCTTCGAGTCTTGTTCTCGTTCTGTTGGCCTCGTCTGTGACGGACAGACAGCCCTTGGCCAAGCCTTGGGGCCATTCTTCTCGTGGCCATCTTGACGAACGACCAAGGAAACCCGGTGTCCTCCTCCTCCTCCTCCTCCCCATCATCACCACCATCATCATCATCATCATCACCATCATCATCATCATCATCATCATCATCATCATCATCACCATCATCATCATCATCATCATCATCATCATCATCATCATCATCATTAATATCACCATTATCATCAATATTGTTATCATTATCATTACTGTCATCATCATCATTATCAGTAACATTAACACTATCATTATCATTATTACTATCACCATATGCCACACATATGGACACAGTAGCTTTATATTTGTTTTATTGATTGCAATCCTCACACAACGCGAAGCCATTTTGGTCGAGATAACGAGTTGTTTTCACCGCGAGTTGTTCATGTTTACCCGCCACAGCTGCAACCGGCAGAATAACTCCGGTTTTAGCAGCTTGATCAAGAGAGTCTGCTGCTGATCATGTTAATTCGAATTCTCGCTTTTCCCCTTTTAGTGTATTAGTGTGTGCTGATAACATATCCTTTGATTGTATGATTTGTAGAAGTAATTCGTTTTGCTTTTTTTCATGCAAGGCTTTGAGGAAAGGAATCACTTATATGAGAAATATATTCATTCTACTCTTGTTTTGCGTTCGGTGTAGCAAGGGGGTTTGTATTTCCCTGAAATTAATATAAAGACTGATTAATAGTTATCATTGGTTCACGTCAATTGAAAGTTCCCTGATGAAAGCTCGAAATTCAGGCACGGAAATGCATATTGTTCATCAGTGTTCTCTCTCCTCATATATCACTGATTGTTCTGCACAACACATTCCCACACTTTTAGGATATTTCTAATAATGGATCGTTTGTCTAATGGATTATTCCGTGTAATAATGCACAAATAGATGTGTCGGTGATTTACGTCGATTATATTTCATACTCCTTTCGTGGTCGGTAATCAAACGCTTTCAATTACTTTGCTATTTATTTTATTATAATGTATGTATTTTTTAATGATTTTTTTTTTTTTTTTTTTTTTTGCATGATTCCAACGTTGTGCTGCGTTATGCTTGGTTCTCTTTATTTGTTTTGATTATATTCTTACTGCAGATATATTCTTCATTGTTATTTTGATATGGAATCTTTCAAATGTAGCTCTGAGTTGGTTTTAATTTTGCCATATTGATTACTCTGTTTATTCAGTCCTGAATCATCAGTCTTTGAACACTGGTTCAGCCTGCTACAGAAGGGCAAACAGACAGACATGCATATGTGTTGACTTCATTTTTATAGCATTTGGTCTGTTTGAAAAGGGAAAGGATAAACTATGTAAAAATGATATATTTATTCATAAAGATGTATGAAATAAATACGCACACATTTCCTCGACACGCAGTTGAAATATCACTCTATAAATTATCACAATATCCAATGTCAAGGATTCAAATTACTCCTCTTGAGCCTCGAGAGCCTTGCGCTCGTCCTCGAGGCGGGCGAACTCGATCTGGTCGAGGACGAACTGGGGGATGGGGTGGGGGAAGGCGGGGGCCACGGGCAGGAGGGACGACTCGGGCTGGAAGCCGTTCTCGTCGGCCACGAACTTGACTTCGGCCAGAGAGCCGTCCTCCTGGGGGTAGCTGGGGGGGGGGAGAGGGCGAGGTTAGAGCTTCGGCGGTTGAGAGAGAGAGAGAGAGAGAGAGAGAGAGAGAGAGAGAGAGAGAGAGAGAGGAGAGAGGAGAGAGAGAGAGAGAGAGAGGGAGGGAGGGAGGAGAGAGCGAGAGGGAAGAGAAAGACAGAGAGAGAGAGAGAGGGAGAGAATGAGAGAGGGAGAGAAAGAGAGAGAGAGAGAGACATAGAGAGAGAGAGTGACAGAGAATAGCAAAAGTGTCAGCGTCGTTACCTGAAGGATCCGACCATGTTGGCTCCGCCGTTGACGCCCTCAGAGCCCGAGAACTGGAACACGATGCCGTTCTCGGCCTCGAAGTCGGAGCTGTGGGCGCCGCTCTCGTCGGGGTTGACTTGGCTGCTCCTCAAGATGGCCACGGGAGGGCTGGTCAGGGGCAGCTTGTCGGCCGCCGCCACGGCCACCAGAGCGAGAACAATGACCTGGAGAAGAAGGTCAACTGAGGGAAAAGGAGCGATTCACAGCCTAGTATCCCTCCGTCGCTCATCTGCAATATCTCCCAGGAGATGAGCATCCCCTCGGCGCTGAATCATACACAAGGTGCAATATATATTTCCGGGAACTCTCGAGGAAAAGAATCATATGAAAGAAATACTACCTATATTTCCAGAGGAATTGTCCAGAAAATTTACATCATAAAAAAGACTTTTGATCTATTTTTTCGTAAGAACATCCTGAAACCTTAAAATGGGATCAAAATGTATGAGAGCCTCTTGGAAACCTTACTGCCTTCATGTTGAGAGGACGCGAGTGAGAATGCGCCGGCGTGTGTGCGCACCCGAGTTATATAGTGAGAGAGAGAGAGGTCGACCCGAGGTCATGTCTGCGTAAACCCTTCAGTTATAAAGTACGTCTAGACCCTGTGACCTTGCCAGAGGGATTACCTCATGTGTGTATTTTTGTTTTTGGCCGAAGTCCACCCGGGGATGTTCTCCCTTTTCGTTTTTTTTTGTTTCTTTGTTTACGTTTTTTTGGGTGATGACGTCATTGCCATTATTAGTATCATTATTGTTATTTTTATTATCATTATTAACATTGGTGTTATTATTGTTATTATTATTATTATTATGATTATTATTATTATAATAATTATCATTATCGCCATTGCTATTATAAATGCTGTTGCAACGATTATCATTATTATCAGTATCACCAATAAAACGATAAACATTAATGATAATGATAAAAATGATGATAGCGAGGATGGTAATATTGGTAATGATGATATATTATTTACAAATCTATTGCCATCTTTTATTAAGATTATCTTATTCTTATTCTCATCGTCAGCTCATCATCATCATCAGTATCATTATCATGGTTATCATCATCGTTACTATTATTACCATCTTCAATGTTTCAACATCATTATCATTATCATTATTATCATTAACAACATTATTGCTGTTGTTATTAATGTTTTTTTCATTATTATTATTGTTGTCATTATTGTTGTTTTCGTCATTATCATCATATGGGGAAAGAAGGGGAGAGAGAGAGAGATGTGGGAGGGATGGAGAAGCAGCTTGTCGAGGAGGGCGCGGCTGCGATGAAGGGGAGATACGAGAGAGAGGAGAGGGTCGATGGAGAGGAGAGAGATTGAGTGAGTGAGAGGGGAAGGGAGGGGCGGCGAGAAAGGGAACGGAGCAGGAGGACGTGAGTTCAGAGGATCTGAGTGGATTGTATGATGGGAGAGACGGGAAGAGGAGCGATCAGGGAGAGGAGGAGAGAAGGGTGCGAGGACGAGAAGACCCCAGAAAGGGGATGGCTGGAGAGGGGAAGAGGGAGGAGCATGAGGATGGGGTTATGCGGGAGAGGAGAAGAGAGGAGAGGGGAAGAAGGGAGGGGAGTTGTGGGATGGGAGCGGGATGTCTGAGAGAGAGTTGAGTATAGGAGATGAGGTCCGGAGACTCTGTTCGCGGAGGATATGATGTAGGACCTTGATAGGTGACGCCGTGGAGGATACGATGGAGAGGAGGCTGCCCATCGGGGAGCGGAGAGAGGAGAGAGCGGGGATGAAGAGAGGAGAGGAGAATCGCGCTGGTAGAGAGAGAGTGCGACGAGGAGCCTCGGACCGACGGACACCGAGATGGGGGACCGGGAGAGGACGGAGGGATGAGTGCTGAAGAGGGATAGGAGCGATGAAGTTGAGGTGCGAGAGGAAGGAAAGGTGCGACGGACGGACGGGAGGACGGGTGAATGGTGGATGGGGTGATGGGAAGCGAACGCGGAGGGTAGGAGACGGGAGAGAGAGGAAGGGGGAGACAGAGGAGAGGGAGAGGAGGGAGAATCCTGAAGAGGATAGATATGGTAGAGAGAGGACGGAGCGGGAAAAGCAGTGAGACGAGGAGAGGAGGAGATTCGAATCGGAGGCGGAGGAGATGTGCACGAGAAGGGGGGAGAAGGGGGTGTGTAGAGAGGGAGAGGGACGATGGAAATGGGGGAGCTTGTGAGTGAGAGAGGGAGAGAGCTGATGAGATCGGAGAAGGAGTCTTAGGGTGAGAGATGAGGGGATTCGCCGGGGAGAGAACTGCGAGACGAGTATGAAGGCAGAGGAAGGTGTGTGCTGTAGGAACTCGAGAGTAGGATTAGAGTGGGACGCGAGAGAATGGGGTACGAAGGGGCGGAGGAGGGACGAGTGAGATGGAGCGAGAGAGGAGAAGAGGGGGAGAGGAGACGACGGAGGAGAGATCTGAGCGTGGGAGAAGGAGAATAGAAGAGGGGGAGAGGAGAGGAGAGGAGGAGGACGGGAGGGAGAGGGGATGGAAACCTCTGACGATAAGACGGAGAAGGACAAACTGAGGCGAGGAGACGAGGAGGAGAGCGAGGTCTTGGGACGAGGGAAGGCGGGGGAGATGGGGGAGAGAGGGCGGAGGATCGGGGGGGAATGATGGTGGAGACGAGTCTGGAGGGTGTGGATCGAGTATCTGCGAGGACCAGGGCTGGACGGCGATGTAGAGGAGGTGACCGAAGAGGAGGAGGAGGAGGCGAGTAGATATGAGAGGGGAGGAGTCGGGAGGAGTGGAGAAAATGTGGAAAGAGAGTATCGTTGGGGGATGGAGAGAGGTGAGAGGAGATAGGGAGCAGGGGAAGAGAGGAGAGCAGGGAGAGAGGAGAGAGAAGTGGATGGGAGAGAGGGAGGGGCAGGGTTGGAGGGCTGGATGGATCGAGGACAGATGCGAGTGTGGAGTTGAGGGATGATTGCTGTCTGGAAGAGAGGAGAGAAGTGCTATGAGGAGGTGCTGGGTGATGGAGAGAGAAAGTAGAGGAGGCGGAGAATTGAGGAGTGGGAGAGAGGTGCGAGGAGAGAGAGAGTGCAGGACGGGACTGGGAGGAAGGTGGGAGATAGGAGGATGAGGAGAGAAGGGAGAGATGGGAGTGGAGATGGATGGGGTGTGGATGAAAGGGAGGGAGGGGGCCTAGAGAGATGGGCTAAGAGGGAGTGAGACTGGACGGAGGTGGAGAGGGAGTCAATGGGGATGGTACGAACTAGAGAGAGGAAGATGAGACGGGAAGAGGGGGCGAGAGGAGAGAGAGGTGAGGGGGAGGAGAGGGGAATGAGGGAGGGAGATGGAGATGAATGGAGGGGAGGATGAGGGAGAGGAGTTAGATGAGATCGAGAGAAGTTGTGGGGAGTCGACGAGAGAAGAGAGGAGAGAGAGAATGATGAGAGAGTAGAGTGACGAACTGAGAGGAGGAGAGTGAGAGATGGAGAGATCGTCGATGGCGACGAGAGCAGAGATGAGAGAAGAGAGGAAAAGAGAGAATAGAATTAGATACGATAGATATGATAGTGAGAGGAGAGGAGAGAAGAGGAGGAAAGAAACAGAGAGGAATCCAGAGAAGAGAAAAAGAAAAATAAACAAAGATGTGCCTTGGGATTCAAAGGATTATTTTTACTTATTGAAACTAAAAAAATTAAACGGAAAAAGGACAGACTTCAGTGAGCTCACCCAGAATATTTTTCAAAATGCTGTATACGAGTGTGTGCTGCAAGAGAATGCATTCAAGTTAATTTGTTTTGTCCCATATGTTTCATGAGCACATTTGAAATTGATGATTGTTCTTGTAAGGCCAAAATATTATCATGTATTTTCAGCCTGAGGTGTTGGTACTCATACCAGTGCCAATGGAAGTACCATATTTAATGGCTATAAATCCTATATTTCCGTGACGTTTTGAGTCATAAAGATTTTCTCCAGATGTTTTTGAGCCTCTTTCAATTGTGGATAAAAACAAGTTAGAATTGTCCTGGACTGAAGGAAAAGCTCAGGAAATACCTCTCCCCCCCCCCCAAAAAAAAAAAAAAAAACTATTTTTTTTTACCCCTAACACGATGTGAAAAGCAAGTAAGAACAAATCATTTACGTTGTAATTAATTGCTTCTCAAATAACTAGTCATAACATTTCTATCTTATTATCCATTGCATAAATTTGTGATGAATTAACTAATTAAAAAAGATCTGGAGTAAATCTAATTATAAGTCTGCGATTTTAAATACACTGTTAACACTTTTATTTCTTTTTGAAAGAGGTCGACGTATCAGATGATCTAGGAAAATAGATAAATAAAATCAGTAATCCTCTTTCACGTTACGATCCGCAATATAATAAACATAACGAGGTCTTTCATTTACCTAGAACACTTTGCAGGTTATTTATCTATCTATTCATTATCTATTCATATACTTTTAACACGACAGACACGACTGAATGTCTTATGATGATTTTTACGATTGAAGATTTAGGCCTATGACTTGTGGCTTTATTTTACCGCTTAAAAGACGCGGAGATTTTGTATCTCAGGTGTGATTGATTGGGGGTGAGTGGGTCGTGAAGGGGATAAAGTGGGCGGCAGTCTGTCATTATGTATTCTTTTTTTCCATATTCTTCATTTATTCATTCATTTACGTATTCCCTAAGACTCTTCGTGTTCCCTTTCCCTATTGTGTCTTCTCGTGGCTCCTGTTTGAATGTTTGCGCGTCTATAATGTTCCTATGAAAAGTAGAGCATGTGTACGTGTGTGTGGAGAGAGAGAGAGAGACAGAGAGACAGAAAGAGACAGAAATTGTCAATAAGGGCAAGGACAGAGCACATAAGAACACTCGATATATTTGCTAATGTCGGTTTGGAAAATAAATAAATATCACTGCATGAAATATCAGAATATACAATGCTGGGATTCGAATTATTCCTCCTGAGACTCAAGGGCCTTGCGCTCGTCCTCGAGGCGGGCGAACTCGATCTGTCGAGGACGAACTGGGGGATGGGGGGGGGAAGCGGGGGCCACGGGCAGGAGGGAGGACTCGGGCTGGAAGCCGTTCTCGTCGGCACGAACTTGACTTCGGCCAGAGAGCCGTCCTCCTCCTGGGGTACCTGGGAAAGGATTGTCATACAGATTTTTAGGGATTTACATTAACCGGAGCATGGGATGAAAGCAACACTTTTGAGATCCTATGGTCGAATACAATGTATTTTCGATGTTCAAAAGTAAAATTCAAGTAAAATGAAAATCAAATGTTCTCTTACGCGAAGTATCCGACCATGTTGGCGCCGCCCTCTTCAGCCTCTTTGCCAGAGAACTGGAACACGATGCCGTTCTCGGCCTCGAAGTCGGAGCTGTGGGCGCCGCTCTCGTCGGAATTCACTTGGGCTGCTCCTCAGATGGCCACGGGAGGGTCATGGCAGTTTGTCGGCCATGGCCACGGCCAGCAGAGCGAGAATGACGGCCTGAAAAAGGTTGTTAATATAGTATAAACATTTGCTGAACCCATAAAA